TCCTGGCTCCTGCCATCGGATCAGCGCGGTGCGCCGGCCGCAGCGCGCCGGCCGCGGCGGCCATTGGAGGGTGAACCAGCAGCAAAGGAAGACCTTTCTCTCTGTCTCTCTCTCTCACTGTCCACTCTGCCTGTCAAAAAATAAAAAAAATAAAAAAAAATAAAAAAGATTATGCATGGGACACCCGCATCCCATACCAGAGTGCCTAGGTTTAAATCCTGGCTGTGTTCTGATTCCAGTTTCCTGTTAATGCACATCATGGGAGGCAGTAGGTAATGGGTCCAGGACTTGGGTCCCTGCCACTCATATGGGAAACCTGAACTGAGTTCTAGGCTCCTGGCTTTTGTCTGACCTAAGCTCAGCTGTTGAGGACAATTGAGGAGTGAACCAGTGGATGAAAGATGCATATTCTCATTCTCTCTCTCTGTCTCTCTGTCTCTCTCTCTCTCTCTCTCTCTCTCTCTGCTTTTCAGATAAAATGAACTTAAATAAATGGACTTTTTAAAATAGTCATTTAACATTTACAACTGATGGATAAAATCATGTGTCATGTACAACATGTTGTTTTGAAAAATGTGGTAACAATACTAAACATCTACTCTTTCAACAATTTTTAAGAATACAATGCACTGTTATGAACTTTATTCACCATGTTGTACAATAGATCTCTTGAACTGATCCCTCTTGTCTGACTGAAACTTTATATCATTTGACCAACAGCCTCTCAGTTGCACCTCCCACTACAACCCCTGGTAACCATCATTCTACTCTATTTTTGTGAGTTCAACTTTCTTAGATTTTTAAATTTTTATTTATTTGAGAGACAGAGTGAGGTAGACAGAGAATGATCTTCCATCCACTTGTACACTATTCAAGAGTCTGCAACATCAGGGGCTGGGCCAGGCTGAAGCCAGGAATCAGGACTCAATCTGGGTGTTCCATGTAGGTAGCAGGGACCCAGTTGCTTGAGTCATCACCTGCTTCCTCCCTGGGTACACATTAGCAGGGAGCTAAAATTAGGAGCAGAGGTGAAACTCAAATCCAGGAACTATGATATGGGACATAGGCATCCTAATTGATGTCTCAACACTAGGCCTAATGCTCACCCCCTGAGTTCAACTATTTTATATTCCCAATATAAGTGAGATCATTGTGAAAATGTATTTTTGTTCCTGCTTTACTTCACTTAGCATATTGTTCTCCAGGTTCATCCCTGTCTTTTTAAAGGCTGAATAGTGTTAAATTGTATATGTACTGTGTTGAGAAATTTCTGTTAAGATCCTTTCTTTCCTGATTGTTTAATTATTTATTTTCTTACTATTGAAGTGTTTGTGTTCCTTATGTATTTTAGATATTAACTCTATCAACAATATGATTTGCAAAAATTGTCTCCCATTCATAGGTTGTCTGTTTACCAGTTGACTATTTCCTTTGCTGGGCAGAAGCTTATTAGCTTGATGCAATCCCATTTGCCTACTTTTACATTTGTTGCCTGGGTTTTAGGACATGATCCAAAGAATCATTGTCTAATCCAAAGTCATAGAGTTTTCTTCAAGTAGTTTTTGTGCTTTCATAAAATATGAAAAATTATGCTTATATTTGTCTTTAATCCAATTTGAGTTGATTTTTGTACATTGTGTGAGATAAGGATCTAATGTCATTCTTCATATGGATAACCAGTTGTCTCAACACCATTTATTGGAAAGACTATCCTTTGCCTATTGTGTGTTCTTAGCAGCTCACTAGGCTAATCCTCTGCCTGTGTTGCCAGCACCCCGGGTTCTAGTCCGGTTGGGGTGCCGGTTCTGTCCCGGTTGCTCCTCTTCCAGTCCAGCTCTCTGCTGTGGCCTGGGAAGGCAGTGGAGGATGGCCCAAGTGCTTGGGCCCTGCACCCGCATGGGAGACCAGGAGGATGCACCTGGCTCCTGGCTTCGGATCGGTGCAGCACGCCAGCCGTGGTGGCCATTTGGGGAGTGAACCAATGGAAGGAAGACCTTTCTGTCTGTCTCTCTCTCACTGTCTAACTCCGCCTGTCAAAAAAAAAAAAAAGAAAGAAAATCAATTGAAGATAAATGTATTAATTTATTTCTAGGATTTATTTTCTGTTCCATTGATTTATCTGTCTATTTTTATGGCAGTACCACGCATGTTTTGATAACTAAAGATACTTAATGCGTTTCTTAAACATGTATTTTAACTTACAACAAATGTATATTCATTTACAAGTCTTCTGACACAGTGACAACTAATTTTGTTTGAATATGAGTTTAGTAATTGCAATTCTGTCGTATCATCCTGTCATGAATTCTACCCTTGCACATCATCATCAATAGTCTCTTGGTTCATTTTAGAAAAATTTAAATAAGAACATAAGAATATTTTCAAAGTATTTGGTTTATGTAAACCAGGGGTGGAAAAGCTCTTTTCTGCCAAGGGCCATTTGGATATTTATAACATCAGTTGTGGACTGTATAAAATTATCAACTTAAAAGTTATCCATCAATAATTTTATTGAATTTTGAGTCTCACTTCCTGTTGCCGTGGCAGGACCAGAACAAATTATTTTTGCAGAGATTATATGACCTGTGGGTCAGACATTTTCTATCCCCAAACCAAATTCAAAAGTTTCTAAGCACTTATGATTTTTTCTAATATTTTATAGTTTCAAACCTACATATAATCTTATAGCAACTTTGTTATCAAATATTTGATTCTAAAGTATTCAACTTAATTTTTATAGAAACAGCTGTATTTTTGCTCTCAGCAATTTATGTGATACTAAATTATATCATTACATTCAAACATATGCATGACATTAGGAGCTTGGGGGACTGACACAGCTAAGTATACAGTTTCACTTATGGGGCAAATATGCATGGTCTTTGTAGAGAGAATTCTCTCCACTGGGGATGAGAACACAAGTTAATATGATGAGTCAATTTAATATGGGTATACTAACCACTACTACAAATATGTTTCCTAGATAGACTAAAAACTCATTTAAAGTAGAATCTCTGTCTTATATGTCCCCATGGCACTTAGAAAAGTGCTTTATGAGAATGTAAGCATTCTGTATTTGTTGGTAGGATAGAAGTGAATTCCACTGTCTTTCTCTGGGAAGAAGTTGGTTGGATAATGGAAATGATGGCATGCCATGAGATGGTGTTGACTTGGAATTTTCTTGCAAGAGTACCCAAAATACCCCCAAGACATTACATATGTACAGACTACAAGATGATTCCCCTCTTTAAATTTCTTTTGTATGTGATTATAATACTATAAGATTTCATCTTTATTGTGATCTCTTTTATAAGACTTAGTCTTTTTTTTTCTTGAAGACTTGAAATCTTTAAGATAAAAATCAATAGATCATTAATAAATCCCAATAATGCATTGTTGAACCCTATTAATATACTATATATTTATATGTAAAAAGCATATATCACTTTTTCCTATTGGCGTCTTGTAATACCCAAATATCTCACTCATAAACAATAGAACATGATTTTATTACATGCATCATTCAGGTTGACCTTTTGTAACCACACCCACTTCCCTCACATTGCCCCCACTCCTAGCAACCATAATCTGTTCCCACCTTTAATATTTTGTCATTTCAAAAGTGGTACAGAAAATGGAATAATACAGTATTTATCCTTTGAGACTAGCGTTTCCGTCAGAATAATTCTCTGGAGAGGCATCCAAGTTGTTACATGTATCAGGTCCTTTTTCTTGCTGGGTAATATTCTATACACTAGTATTTGTTTAAATATTTACCTGTTGAAAGACATCTAGGTTCTTTCCAGTTTTTACTATCACAAATAAACTTACATGAATGTTAGTGTACATGTTTTGTGTAGACATGGTTTTTCATTTCTCTAGGATAAATACCCAATACTTTCTGGGTTGTATGGTAGTTGCATGTTTAGTTTTTCAAGAAATTTCCAAAGTGTTTTCCAGAGTGGGTGAGCCGTTTTTTGTTTCTACCAGCAAGTTTGAGTGAACCATTTTCTCCTCTTTGAATTTTGATGATGTCAGTTACTAATATTGCTGTCTTTTTTAAAGATTTATTTATTTGAAAGTCAGAGTTACACAGAGAGAGAGACAGAGAGGTCTTCCATCCGCTGGTTCACTCCCCAATTGGCCTCAATGGCTAGAGCTGCACCAATTTGAAGCTAGGATCTAGGAGCTTCCTCCAGGTCTTGGAGAAAGGACTTGGGCCATCTTCTACTGCTTTCTGAGGCCATAGCAGAGAGCTTGATCAGAAGTGGAGCAGCTGGGACTTGAACCAGCGGTACCCATATGGGATGCCAGCACTGCAGGCAGCGACTTTACCCACTACACCACAGCACCAGCCCCACTAATATTGATTTCAACAATTGATTGCTGGTAGCCCACTTTGAAGCAAACATTACTGACAACTTCCTTGTTTTGTCATTTAAGAAAGCCTAGAGACAGCAAAGACAAACAGAAAGAAGTGAATTCTGGTGCTTTTTTCAGTAAAATATTTATTCCTTCCTCACACCCCAAACTATATGTTTATATCCAGAGATAAGTCCAGTCTTCAATGAATCACAGACATTCAATATCCATTGACTGAGAAAATGTGAATTATACAAGGGTACTTTTAAAAGTTCAAAAATTTCATGGAAATGGAATTAAAAGATAAGCTGATTTGGGTACAAAAACTATTTGAAATCCATGCGTGGTTTTTTTCATAATATGCTTTCATGAAATTTTGAAGTACCCTCATATGCTGCCTTTCAGATTCTGTTTACTTTAATGTTTATACTTAAAAGAAAATGAATTCATAGAATTTTCCAACTCCTCTTCTTTTCCAGGCTAAGATATCTCTCTGACCATTACGAGATAACATAGTGAAAAGTGACTGGGTTGTCACATTGAAGCCACGAAGTAAACACTGTACATTCAAACATGGGCTGCAAAATAATAAACCAATCTCTCTTCTTCTTTCCTTTCCCTTGCCTCCCCTTGGCCAGGTGGAGTTTGCTCCTGATGTTGGCCTTCAATACAAAGGAGAGCTGACAGTTGTATTACGTTACATTCCCCCAGAGGAGAACCTGATGCTTCAATCCCCACAACTTGAAGGTAGAGTAAAAATCAGTGACTTTGATGGATGATATTCTGCTTCTGGAAGTGTGGGAATGAGGACCAGGAATTGGTTAAACTATATTGTGCTCATATTACACAGATAAAACATGGATGATCATATATAACTGTCTTCTTTAATTTTAAAAATTAATTTGAAGAGGAGAGAGATCTTCCATCCCCTGGATCACTCCTCAAATGCCCTCCACAGGTGGGGCTGTGTAGGGTTGAAGGCAGGAGCAGAATGCAATCTGGGTTTCCCACGATGGTGGAAGGGACCCAAATTCTTGAGCCATCACCTGCTGTCTCCCAGGATATGCATTCGCAGAAAGCTGGATTGGAAATAGAGGCAGGATTCAAACCAAGCATTCCAATACAGGATGCAGGCATCCCAAAGGCATCTTAACCTCTATGCCAAACATCACCCCATCACTGTGTTTTGAGGAGGATTAAGAACTATATACTAGGGGGCTGGCACTGTGGCATAGCGGGTGAAGCCTCCACCTGCAGTGCCTGCATCTCATGTGGGCACCGGTTCAAGTCCCAGCTGCTCCACTTCCAATCCAGCTCTCTGCTATGGCCTGGGAAAGCAGTAGAAGATGAATCAAGTCCTTGGGCTCCTGCACCCATGTGGGAGACCTGAAAGAAGCTCCTGGCTCCTGGCTCCTGGCTCCTGGCTCCTGGCTCCTGGCTCCTGGCTCCTGGCTCCTGGCTTTGGATTGGCACAGCTCTGGCCATTGTGGCCATCTGGGGACTGAACCAGCAGATGGATAATCTCTCTTTTTCTCTCTTTCTCTTTCTCTCTCTGCCTCTACCTCCTATAACTCTGCCTTTCTAATAAATAAATAAATCCTTTTTTTTAAAAAAAAAGGTATATACTATGGAAGGGCATGGGATTCATACAAGGAAAGGCCAAAGCTCATACTTAGAAACCAGTCTTGATGGCGAAATTTGTTTTGTGTCAGTCCAGAGATATAGGATCTTCCAGAATGGGGGGCAGTCTGTTGGAAAGGGATGTAGAAAGCTGCTGTATGGATTTATGACATTCATAGCTACTCAGTTAGCCTTGAGGAAGAAGTTGGTCTATAATGCAGAGTGTTAAGGAAAAACCCAGAGATATTTATCTGTTGCCCTTCTCCTTTCATCAACTCCTACATGCAGCCTCCTTTGCCCTCCCATTAATAATCATCCCCTTCAGTGTGACTCTACAAGTAACATAGTTTCTCCCTCCCTCAGTTTCCTCACTTCAGAGGTTTGATTTGAGGATTAAATAGATCCATACTTATAAATTATGCTTCAAACAGTAGTAAATAAAAGTGGAAATTATGGTGATGGCTGTTATTATATTTTATTGCAATTAAAATTAGAAGTAGAAAAGAGTAAAATGTAGTTGTTATGCAAAATGTAATTGTTCCTAGACTATAACCTACAGAGCGGACCCTTCCTGGAACTGATAGTCTACAAGACTAAGCTATCTACAAAGAGGGTGATGGAATTTTCTCTTCTGGAGTCTTGATGCTTTGTGTGTATGGCTTTCATCAAAGCTTTTCCTCCATAAGAGCAGCTCTTTCCCTTCCTAGGCTTTTTCCATTCCTTTGCACAAACAGAAATGAAAAATTCATCCAGAAGGATTCCAAGGGGGTAAAAATATTTAATTGAATATAAAATATACAATAATTTAAAGGCCTGAGTCAATCATCAGTTGTAAAGTTTTGCTGATGATTTTGTAAATGTTGAAGTGAAATCCATGAATCTCTCCCCCTTTCCTCCCTCATAATTTGGTGCTTGGTGCAGGAAAGAAGACCTTTAAGAAAGGAAAGAAGAAGGAGTCACCTGTAATCTCTGGAGGAATACTAGAAGTGCTCATCAAAGAGGCAAAGAACTTGACAGCAGTGAAATCAGGAGGCACTTCTGACAGCTTTGTGAAGGGGTAATTGTGTTTTAGTTCATTTGAGATGCTACTTAATGGGAGATGAAGTGGTCCATGAGACAGTAGAAGCTGCGAGGCTTCTGTGTTCTGCTTTCTGGAAATGTACTGGGATAGAACTACCCCTAAATGCTAGCTCTTACATGTAAAACAATATAACTGTAGTGGGAACAGCTTATTCTAGCTTCCATTCTGTTTCTAGCATATTTCAGGAGTTTCTATCACTCTCACGCTCAAGATGAGCAAATTTTCCTATGGCATTCATTTCTCAAAGGAGGGAGAAGTATGATTTCTATGTGTAATATATTTTATTGTGCTTTGGTACTGTTTGGTGCTGGCGATTATGTAAAAACAAGCAAAATATTGGATTTTTTGCTATTTTTCTTCCTTGGATGAAATTGTAAAAAGTAGAGAAATCAGAACACCCTCTCTTGAGGAAACCACCATAAAGTGGTTTGCAGAGGCTCTGGGACTTCTTGCTGGGATCTGTACCCACTTTGTGGAGCATAGGGCAGTTTTTCTCAGGGGATACAGCCCTTTCAATGGATTTTCTTGCCCAATTCTCAGGACCTAAACAGCAAATCCCTCTTGATTCCTGATTATTGGAGATTTTTTCTCCTGTAATTATAAAAACTAGAACTAGAAGAATGTTTTTCATTCATTCAAAGAAACACAGAAATGCACAAATGTCAAGCACTGGGTTCTGCACTTTCAAAAATAAGTAAGAAATGCTCCTGCCCTCATGGAGCACTAGAGGCATACCGGATAAAATAATTTCCAATGATGCTGGGTCTTGAGGTTAATTCTTTGAATCACAGGACACTTTTGTTCCTCTTCCCAAATGTTCTTGGGAAAGTGCATTCTCCTTATGAAGAAATGGGTCAAGTGTTTGCCCTCACGTGTTCTAACTTTGGTAAAGCCAGCAGTGAAGAGAAGCTGCTGTGTGCAGCTCCCTTGTTGGTGAATGTGTGTATCTGAATCCCAGTCTGTCTGTCACTCTTTTGTGCAGTAGATTTAAAGATAGAAGAAATGCTTTCTCTGGCCCCTACTGTTCCAATGTGCCCCACCAGCTCTGCCACCCTGTTCAGACCTCTGCTCTGAGATCCCTGCCTGGTGGGATAAGGGGACGGCTCCTGGCCAGTGGCCTCATGGTGGCTTGCAGGGGTGGTTAATATCTTACCAAACAGTTTTCTATCTTGTTAAAATTTTATGAAGCAAACATAATAAAAGGAAATCTTTTTGTTCTTAAAGGGGAAAAATGTTAACTTTCTAGCAAATTCTCTCCTTAGCTATACTTAAATATTGAGCTTATTTGAAAAAGACCTGACTTTAAAAAAGAAAACAGATGAAGAGAGCAAGAATAAACCCTCTGTAAAGTTTAATATTGAAAAATATATCAATTAACAGGTTTGTAATACAAAATAACAGTGTCTAAAAAAGATAAAGGATTGGAAGCATATGATTTTCAAGAGATGCAGGATTTTTCTGTGTTGTTATAGGATCTACCTCATGGGCCAAGATAGCTGCTTGAGTTTTAGCCATCCCATTCCAACTCCAGCTGGCAAGACACATCCCAGGACTTTCATACAGATATACTTCTTATATCTCATTAACCAGAACTCGTCATGTGACTAGATTAGCTGCAAGATATGCTGGATAATGTAGTTTTTATTCTGGATAACCTTGTGTCAAAATTTTTAAATGAGGATATTTTTTTTTGACAGGCAGAGTGGACAGTGAGAGAGAGAGACAGAGAGAAAGGTCTTCCTTTGCCGTTGGTTCACCCTCCAATGGCCGCCGCAGCCGGCCCACAGCGACCGGCGCACCGCGCTGATCTGAACCCAGGAGCCAGGTGCTTCTCCTGGTCTCCCATGGGGTTCAGGGCCCAAGCACTTGGGCCATCCTCCACTGCACTCCCGGGCCATAGCAGAGAGCTGGCCTGGAAGAGGGGCAACCAGGACAGAATCCGGTGCCCCGACCGGGACTAGAACCCGGTGTGCCGGTGCTGCAAGGCGGAGGATTAGCCTAGTGAGCCACGGCGCCGGCCTTAATGAGGATATTTTTAAAGACAGGAATAAGGGGAGAATGGATAGGAAGCACAGGAATTCTATGCTTGGTACATGAAATGAAGTCTCAAGTGACCGAATGTAGCTTCATTGTTATAAATGAGGTACTAATTCCATACATACATATGTCTCCCTCCTAATGCATACTTCCTGAAAGGGAGAAAAATGTATTTTCTGTGTATCTAGTAGGAGTGGGGAACATTTTTATTGGCAAAAACCATTGGATATTTATAACATTATTAATGAGCCATACAAAATTATCAACTTAAAAATTAGCCTACTATAGAATTATTGCATTCTAAGGCCTGTCTGTGGTTGTCTTGGCAGGGCCAGGCCAAAAGATTTTGTGGGCTTTATATGGCTTGCAGGCCAAATGTCCCCCACCCAACCCCTGCCACCCATAGAGCCTATTGTTTTGACCACAGTAGAGGTGAAGGCCTAGAGTACACATATTTTATATGAGAAGAGATTCCAGGAAGCAGTAAGAGAATAGAGAAAATAAGATAGGACAGGTAGGGAAGCTGTTAAAAAGGTATGATAATGGGCAGGCTACAAATGTGGGCCTCTAGAATTCAATTCCACTGGGAGGCAATGAAGAACTCTATTATCACTTCAGGTGGTAAGGGTGGTAGGGATGCTGAGTGTGTCGCCATTTCCCAAAACCCTTTGCTTGAGACTTGCCCCAAGGGGCATTAGATCCCTAGTGATTCCAGGGTTCTGTGCAAATCAGCTGAACCATTTCATACAGCACTAGAGAAAGTCCTTCACTAGAAAAGACCAAGAGACACAGGTACTTGAGGTTGGAAGCTGCAAACAGGCCAGGAATTGCCCTTGTTGGCTGCAAGTCAACTAAGATATAGGCCAGTAAGATCCAAGGAAGGGCACTCAAAATGTTGACTGCAGGAGGTATTTCTTTTCCAGATGGGAGGAAGAACCAAAATAGGAATAGGAAGCAGAGAGAGGTCATTTGATTATTGCTCTATTTAAAAGAAAGAATAAGCCATTCCATTAAATAAATCTGGATGTAAGCATGTAACAACCTGAGAGAGAATGACAAATACACATATCATGCTTACATGCAGACACATATACACACACACTAGAAATTATGAGAATTTGAAATGACTAATCAGGAACAACATTTTCTTCCTACTGTCTTACTGACAGCTTGATTGTGTTTTCTCCTGCAGCTACCTGCTCCCAGATGATAACAAAGCCACCAAGCACAAAACTCCGGTTGTGAAAAAGAGTGTTAACCCTCAGTGGAATCATACTTTCATGTTCAGTGGCCTGCATCCACAGGATATAAATAATGTTTGCCTAGAACTTACCATCTGGGACAAGGAGGCCTTTTCCAGCAACATCTTTCTTGGAGGAGTTCGTTTGAATTCTGGAAGTGGTGAGGGACTTGGGTCTATGACCAGACAAGGGGCAGGGGTGTGATTCCTGCAGGTGTGATGTGTAATAGATGTTTATATCATTTCAGCTTTAGCTGACTCCTGAAATTACCACTGAGACTGTACTCCTTCAGCTAAGAATCTGTTCATTATTAAAATCAAAATATTTATACTATAATTTTGTATCCTTAGGCTAGAAGTTTAGGGAGCATAATGTATATATTTGGTCATTTCATGTAATAACATTTACACTTTAGATTGAGTGAATTTCATATATGTTCTTGGACCTTCAGGTTTTGCTCAGGATAGACTCGTCAAGGCAGAACAGGCTTCTGATAAGGCAGAGAGTAATTTCCAAGGCTAACCTTACATCCTCTTCTCAGTTCTGTCCAGCACTTGAACCAATTATTCACATTGATCAAATTGAAAAGAAACAATTTTTCCCTAAGGAGTGACACTTAATATTGTTCAAAGAGGCCATGGAAACACACTGCTAGCACCATGAGACACAATTGTAACAGAGTGAATTAGGCAGGGGAATATAGTAGTAGGCACACAAGCACTAGTAATGCCCATGCAGTCCCCAAGCTCTCCTTTTCCCATAACTTAGGCATACACCATAGTCAGCATTTCTGTTGAGAAAGACCCCACTGTTCCTATGATGCTTGTGGATTAGGGGGAGCCAAAGACATCTGTGCCACTACACTGAAAATTCCCCATGTCAGAGAAGTGGCCTTGTTAGAAAGGGACAGCCTCAGAGCCCAGTTCAGGCTGTTCTTCTATCATGTTAACTCAATGTAGATGAGCCAGCTCTCTGCTGAACTCCCAGAGTTTGGAGGAGTGAGCCACCAAGGCCATCGTGATTTGTCTTACATCATCTAGACAGAAGAGTGCAGTGCAAGCCGCAAAGGTTTGATTCCATTCTAACATCACTTGGTAGACAAGCCAATTAAGGGCTCTCTAGTCAATAAGCCAGATTGAAGATGACTTCCAGAAGATCAAAACATTTCATCTGTGAAGTGTAATGTTCCCCTTTCCCTTCTTCAGGTGTGAGCCATGGGAAGAATGTGGATTGGATGGACGCTCAGGGAGAAGAGCAACGCCTCTGGCAGAAGATGGCTGACAACCCTGGGACTCCTATCGAGGGGGTACTCATGCTCCGTTCCAGCATGGGGAAGTGTAGGCTCTGAAGGAATCAGTTCTCCACGAATGAAGTCTCCAGGAACTGTCTGCTTGCCATCTTCTACCCATAGCAGGCTGGAATCTGGGGTTCTAGTTCCCTGTTATTTTTCACCTGAAGGTATTGTGACATGAAGGAAGAGATGTCACTGTTATGAACATTTAGGATCTTGCTGAGTGCCTAAAAAAATACATGTACCTCTCTATGTCCATAGGCCAGGCCTTCTTCAGTGTTTGTTACAAAATGCATCACATTGTCCAGTCAATAAGCAAATTATGCAATAGTTCATAGGCTTTGTACTAACTATTGTTGATATTAGGGAGGGGCTCCCCAGAATTTTTCTAATGTGAGTTATTTTAAATTTCTTCCAATGGTTGGAGGATGAAGGGGACCACTGGGAAGGCAGATCACTTGAAGAGTCAGAATAAGGGGTACTGCCACCCGTTGCTCATCCTAGATATTCTCATGAACCAAAGAAGCTATGGTGGGGATGGTTCCTCAGGCAAAGTAGTGGTTGTGTTATTCTTTCAAATTTGTGGATTGACCAGGTAATGCACCAAGATGGTCTGACAGAGCTTTCTATGGTGACTTCACAATTTATCATCTAGATCAGCCTACTAACCAGAGTGAAAAGAGCTAGATAATGACACCAGAAAATCAGATGTAAACTAGAATTGACCAGGGAAACATGGGATGTGGCATCACCCTACTGATGATATAGCTAGTAGAGAACTCTGTCATAAACATGTATTTTATAAAATGGTCTAAGCCATTAACTAAAAGGGAATAAGGAATAATGGTCAGTTTTATGTCCTTTCACATTTTGTTCATTAAGGAGAATAGTTTATTGAAAGGTAGGTGTTCTACCGACGGCTTCTTCTGTCCCTCTTCTGCACTGTTATGGAGAGATCCATGGATTCTATTCATTTTTCCCCTCATTTCTCCTTCCCAGAGTTTTCTTTAGCTCCTTTTATAGTGGTTAGCTATTGCCAAAATAATGATGGTTGACAAACCACTCCAAATGTCAATGGCGTGGCTTAAAATGACAATCCTTTTTGCTCATGATTGTGAAGGTTGGCTAAGTGATCTCTGCTTCTTGCTACAGACATGAAGGTCTAGATCATCTGCTCAAATCACATTCTCTTTATCCCAAATCAATAAAAAGAGCATGGTGATGGCAGAGATGCAATAGAATGAGTACCACTACTCAAGTGCATTTAGATTCCCTGCTTTTGCTGACTATTGCTATCCCTTAAGTCCAAGGAAGTCATATGGCCAAGTGTAAAATCAAGAGGCAGGAAAGTAACATTCTGCCCACAATAAAGTCAAGAGAAGCATTGAAGATACAGGAAGAGATAAAGAATTGGGGCCAATAGTTCAATGTTTATGCTTTCTATCACCTGAAATTCAAGATACTTTGGTCACCAAACTTAAATGCAAAGGTGGTTAAAGCTAGAAGGGTGTTTCAAGCCTGATTCCTCATTTGGCATGTTCCCAAACCCAGGGAGCTGAGGTGACTTGCCCCGGGTCATACCGAGACTGAATATGGACATAAATTTTAGGCTAGACTTCTTTCCACTGCCATCCTTACCATGATGCTATGTTTATTTATTAAGGAGGTAAGAATAGATTATTTGAATATGTACTTACTTGACCCAAGTATATTCTAGAGTCATAGTCTAGCCCATTAGCTCAGTTTTTTCACTTGAATTTATATAAAATTCTTCAATGTATAAATTTATTATTAGTAGTAACAGGTCTAAAATCAGTTTCAAGTTTATTCTTACTAGTTGTCCTAAATTTCTAGATTTCTTCTTGAATTTTGAAAATCGATGCAGGCTTTCTAGAAGGAGTTCAGGAGGATTCCCTCCCTTTCAATTGTTTTGAATGGCTTGAGAAGAATTTGAATTAGTTCTTTAAATGTCTGGTAGAATTCAACAATGAAGCCACCCAGCCCTGGGCTTTTCTTTGTTGGGAGGATCTTTATTACTGATTCAATTTCTGTCTTGGTTATTGGTCTGCTTAGGTTTTCTGTCTTCATGGCTCAATTTCGGTAGATGGTATGTGTCTAGGAATCTATCCGTTTCTTCTAGGTTTCCTGATTTGTTGGCAAACAGCTCTTTGTAGTAATTCCTGATGATTCTTTTTATTTCTGTGATGTCTGTTGTTACATTTCCTTTTTCATCTCTGATTTTATTGATTTGAGTCTTGTCTCTCTCTCTTTTTTTTTTAAGTTGGACCAATGGTGTCTCAATTTTTTTTTTTTCAAAAAACCAGCTCTTCATTTCACTGATGTCTTGTATTTTTTGTTTCAATTTTCTTTATTTCTTCTCTGATTTTAATTATTTCTTTCCTCCCACTAATTTTGGCTTTGGATTGTTGTTGTTTTTTCCAGGTCCTTGAGGTGTATTGATAGCTCATGTATTTGGTACCTTTCCAGTTTCTTAATGTAGGCACCAATTGCTATAAACTTCGCTCTTAACACCGTTTTTACTGTATCCCATAAGTTTTGATATGTTGTATTGTCATCTTCTTTTGTTTCCAGAAATTTTTTTATTTCTTCCATGACCCACTGTTTATTCAGGACTATGTTGTTCAGTCTCCATGTGTTTATATATGATCTGGGGATTCCTGAGTTGTTCATTTGCAGCTTTATTCCATTGTTGTCAGAGAAGATGCATGGTTCTATTTGTTACAGAAGGTCTTTATTTCATGTTCATTCATAAATGAGAGTTTTGCAAAGTACAGTATTCTGGGTTGACAGTTTTTTTCTCTCAAGACTTGGACTGTATCTCACCATTCCTCCTAGCCTGTTAGGGTTTCTGATGAGAATTCAGCTGTGAGTCTTATTGAAGATCGTCTGAAAGTAATTTTAGAATTTTTTCTTTATGTTTTACTGTGGATAGTTTGACTACCATGTATCATGGTGAAGATCTTTTCTGGTCATGTCTGTTAGGAGTTCTTTCTGCTTCCTGTACTTGGATGACCCTTTCTTTCTCCAGATGGGGAACTTTTCTGTAACTAGAACTCCTAAGACCAGTATGTTGGGTTGTTTGCTATTATCCCATAAATCTCCAACACTATTTTTAAGTTTTCTATTTTTTTTTTTGGTCTGACTGTAAGATTTCCAGAGATTTGTCTTCTAGTTCAGATATTCTTTCTTCTGCCTCACCAAGTTGCTGTTAAGGCTTTCCATTGCATTTCTTATTTGATCTATTGAATTCTTCATTTCTAATATTTCATTGATTTATCTTTAAAATCTCAATTTCATGGAAAAATTTTTCATCATGTCATGTATGGTTTTCTTTAGTGGTGGATTTGCTTCTGATTACTTTTGACTAATCCTGTGATTAATTTTTGAATTCCATTTCCAGCATTTCCTCAATCTCTTCATCTTTGCATTCTAATATTGAAATGTGTTCATGCTGTCTTCCTTATTCTTGTTTCTTGAATTACTTCATTTGTTTTTAGGCTTTTGTGGAGTTGATTTTGAGGTTTTTTGTTTTTTTTTTTTTTCCTCTGATGGCTATATCTTTGAGCTATGCTTCTATGGCTTAGGGGAATGTCTGCACTTTCAGTGAATACCAAGAGGTGTGTTGCGGGTGTGGCCAGGGAGCTCTGGTTAATTCTCCAGGGTGGGGCGAATATCCAGGGTAACACCTGGGTTGGGCATGGTAGATATCATTACCCAGCTACACCCTGCACCTTCTCATGTAACCCCTGAGTCCCCATAGTCTCAGCACAAAAGGCTTCCACAGTTGCTGGGTCCAGAGGTTTCTCTTTGGCCTGCCAGCCTGACCAGTCCACAGAGAGGCAGATGTTCCCCAAGATAGCTCCACCTAGGTGTCTTGATCCTGGGAGTCTGCAGGTGCCTCACCATCCTACATGGTTGCCCAGCCACCTCACAGCGAGGCTCAAAGTCAATGGGCACTGCGGATTGTTCCTTCCATTAGAATCTCTGGATCACATGCGTACACAGAGCCACTGGCAGAATGTTGCTCTCTGCCCACCACTACTGCCAGGACTGCTGAGAAGGTGTCCTGTCAGCCTGTTGCTATGCTTGGGCAAAAAGGCTTCTGCAGCTACCACCCAAACCCAAAATGGTGTCTGCTCTTTCTCAGCCAGGCATTGGGTGCTGTTGTGGGGAGGTTGGGGATAGATAAGTGTGCCCCCTCTACTTCCACTGGATCCATGGGCAACCGCTAGCAACCGCTAGCCCCCAGGGCTCCAGTCCGGACTCACCTGCCTCCGGCTCTCCCTCCGGCTGCATCACTGCAGGCTGCTGCAGTCCGGTCTCACCTCCATCTCCCAGCTGTCGCCCACTCCAGCTCTCTGCTGCTGCACTGGTGTTTGTGTCCGTGCTTCTAGTGCACACCCTCCACACAAGTCCACGGCATCCCTCTTCCTCTTGTGGGATTTCCAGTGTGGTTTTCTCTCCAAGTCTCCCCTGTGAGTGCACTTCCTACACTTTTTTTTTTTTTTTTTTTTTACTGTTTTCCTAGCCTAGCACGGTATGTCATTCCCTAATCCACTGTCTTGGAATATGCTCTCATATACACATTTTTTTATTATTTTTTATTTTTTTTGACAGGCAGAGTGGACAGTGAGAGAGAGAGACAGAGAGAAAGGTCTTCCTTTGCCGTTGGTTCACCCTCCAATGGCCGCCGCGGGCCGGCGCGCTGCGGCCGGCGCACCGCGCTGATCCGATGGCAAGAAGCCAGGAGCCAAGGTGCTTTTCCTGGTCTCCCATGGGGGTGCAGGCTAAGCACTGGGCCATCATCACTGGCACTCCCCGGCACAGCAGAGAAGCTGGCTTGGAAGAAGGGGCAACTGGGACAGAATCCGGCACCCCAACCAGGACTAGAACTCGGTGTGCTGGCGCCGCTAGGCGGAGGATTAGCCTAGTGAGCCGCGGTGCCGGCCCTCATATATACATTTTAAAAGCATAATGATACTTCCCACCCTACCCTCCCTTTCTGTAAAGCAAAACCTAGGTATGCAAATTTATCAGAAACCTGATGGTGTTGCTTTTGGAAATAAAAGTCAAATTCATCTTTAGGTCACTCTATAACTATAGTGTAGATGTATAAAATAGAACTTCTTTTTAAAAAATATTTATTTATTTACTTGAAAGTCAGAGTTACACAGAGAGAGAGGGAGAGGGAGAAAGAGAGGTCTTCCATCCGCTGTTTCAATCCCCAGTTGGCTGCAACGGCCAGAGCTGTGCCGATCTGAAGCCAGGAGCCAGGAGCTTCTTCCGGGTCTCCCACATGAGAACAAGGGCCCAAGGACTTGAGCCATCTTCTGCTGCTTTCCCAGGCCACAGCAGAGAGCTGGATCAGAAGTGGGGCAGCTGAGACTTGAACCAGTGCTCATATGGGATGCCGGCACTGCAGGCAGTGGCTTTACCCGCTACACCACAGCGCCAGCCCCAAAATAGTACTTCTAAATATAGGTAATATGAAGGGGTTTCCAAAAACTCTTACAAAATTCATATTATCTTTTTTTAAAAAAAAATTTGTTTATTTATTTGAAAGTCAGAGTTATACAGAGAGAGAGGAGAGGCAAAAAGAGAGAGAGGTCTTCCATTTGCTGGTTCACTCCCCAATTGGCTGCAATGGCCGGAGCTGCACCGATCCAAAGCCAGGAGGTCCTTCTGGGCCTTCCTCAAAGGTGCAGGGGCTCAAGGCCTTGGGCCATCTTCCACTGCTTTCCCAGGCCATAGCAGAGAGCTGGATCGGAAGTGGAGCATCTGGGTCTCAAACCAGCATCCATATGGGATGCCGGCACTGGAGGCAGCAATTTTATGAGCTATGCCACAGCGCCAGCCCCCAAAATTCATATTATCCTTTAAATTCATTTTCCCACAAAGGTTTTAAAGCTCCTTGTACATGTAAATGGTGTAGAATTCAAATAGCTAAAAATTGTAAAAAGTAAGTCTTCCTCTCTCCACCTCCATATCAGAAAATATTGACAACCTCACTCTTTTATGACTACAGGGTATTATACTATAGGAATATATCATATTGGTTTAACCAGTCCCATCAGATGTCAGATTAAATATATTTAAGTGAACTATCTTTATTTATTGGTTTTTATAAGAAATATTTTCTTTAAAAACACTTTGAAATTAAGTATGTATCTTATTGCTTCTAGGTCTGTAACCTATAGAGATAGAGGCACATGTAAAAATACACACACACACACACACACACACACAAGGGTATTTGTTTCAATGGATTGGAAACAATCAAAAAGCCCATCAATAAAGCCCTCCTATAATATCACATACTCCTGATTTTTCTTTTGCCCTAGTTGTTTATTCTCTTTTGTCTTTGCTTTCTGTACACAAGTGTTGAAAATTGGATTCTCCAATCCTCATTCCTTCTTTTCTCCTCATATCCTCAGCCTCCCAAGCATTATCATATAGTATACTCTCATGGTTTTATACATTCAGAAATTTCAAAATTACATCCCCAATTCAGACCCTTCTTCTCATGCCCCGACCCTTTAAAACTGATTATAGGAATTGGACTCATTCCTGTCTCACCCAAATAGAGCTTTCACAAACACTTGTTCCAGAGACTATCTTGAAAGCCCAATTCAAGGAAATAACCATGTATGATATTAAGAAGGATATTACCTAGCAACTGTCCTCACTCACCAATCAGAATTTGCTAGACATCCAAAAGACATCAGTGGTACCAATGAACTTGCTTCCAAAACAACTTTCATAATGTCTTCTTTCTCCAACAAAACCCTGCTACCTTAGTCTGTGCACACATGTGTATTTCAATTACAATTCCATCTTCCCTCTTATTCCAAGATAAAACCCTTTTTCTTGGAGATGCATCTTTAGATTTTTATTTGACTTTGGCAACCCAGATAAAACTTCCTATATGACCTCTCCACTTGGACAGTTTATGCTTTCAACATATTCAAAACTGAAGTCTTTGTTGCACCCTCTCCCTCACACCCATTGCTTCCTGCTCCAGTGTGTCCTTTCTCCATATCTGGTACCATCATCTACCCAATTACAGTAATCAGACACTTAGTGGTGATCCTTGATTTCTGCCTTCTTCCTTACCCTGAGACAAAATAAATAAGAATATCACATTGATTCTGTCTTCTAAATATCTCTAGACTTTCCAGTTTTCACCATGTCCGTGACACCACCTGGTCCAAGCCACCATCACCGATCTCCACAACTATTGCAGAAGTCTCCCCTCTTCTATCTATGAAGCCACTTTTGTCCTGCATC